GAATTGAACATCCTAAAGTCGGGGAGAGGTGCGGCTGATAAGGAAAAGGATGATTGGCTAACGACGACGGCAAGAGAAGAGAAATAGACGAACAGGCAGTGCGGTTCTCAGTATCAATATCCTCGAGAGGAACATACGTAACGTTCAACTGGTGAATGAACGCGGCGAACTGTCACAAGCATCCAAATCATAGTGTCGAATGGAGATAAGTCATCAAGCCGCCAGGTGCGGAACGCCCATACGAGTTCCTTTAGCGCTGGGGTTGCCCACAAGATGTTCTCCTGTTCCGAGTAAAAGGTGGGGTCTAGAGGTGCTTAGATGCGGCATGTTTGCGCTGGCGCAAAGCGTCAGAGAACAGAAGAGACCAGTTTGGTGGTGTCTTTAATGTTGATTTTCTTTCTCTTATAGCTGAAGATACCAAAGCAGCCGGCGACGAACCTGGAGTAGATGCAAGAGGGTAAATGTTCTGGTAAAGTCCAAAGTAGTTTCCCCGACTCAACTTGTTTGAGGAGGGTACTCTGGTGCGATCACGGCTCCGGACCGGCGATTCCTATTCAAGACCACCGCGATCAAAAGCAGGTGATCGTATTTGACCTCACGACGCGTTTGACGCCTCGATTTGCGTTGTCTGTTGTGCCAGTCCAAAGCTTGAAAACTTCGCGGTCAAAGCACCCTTACTGTGCCCCACCGAAAGCCCCCGATCGTATTCCCACAGTCAGTTCGACTCCTGATCTGGTCAGTGCAGTTTAGTAACTGATCATGATCATTCCTCACTTCCGCCTCGGCTTCACACGGCACACGTAAGTAGCAATCCTGGGCCAAGTTTCCTACTCAGACTGTGCAGGCACGGATACGATAGAAGTATATAGCCCACAAAGCTCAACATAATTGAGCCTGAGTCGGGGACTAGGCGACAAGTCGCCGATAACAATTTGGAGAAGGAGATAATCACGGTCAGGTGACCAATCTCTCTCGAAGGCCGCGCTACTAGTTGGCTGTGAGTAGGTACTAGCTAGCCTCTCCAGCCAGTCTCTACGGTGATGATAGTCGATCAATAGTAGTAGCAGACTTTACGATAGGAAACGGTGATCAAGACAAGAAGGCTTTCAATCTCGAGCTCGCTACGGAACACTGTATGTCGTGTCTGGAGAATCAGTACTCCTCGATGGTAGAAACAATAGGCAACAGATCTATGACACGCGCGTTTGCGTTGTGACAGCAAAGGGGATCCATAAATTCAGAAGTTTGATACATGCTCTTACGCGACTGACACAACGCGTATAACACGTCTACTCGATCTCATTACGCGCTCGAACAACCCACAACGGATCGCTTCCCCCCATTCCCATCCATCCAAACAGTCCACCACTAGCCTCCTGCCCTTTCTCCTGGGTCGCCTTCCCATCACTCACCTCCACGATCTCAATTCCTTTCCACCCCGCAAAGTGCAAGTAGTCTCCAACCATCTGCAACCTTTCGTTTTCGTCGACGCGCAGCCAGCGGCTCATAGCTTTCGTCGGAAAGCAGCGGTTGCTGATGACCAGATGTACAGTCCCGCTTGATTTGGTGGCGGTTCGCAAGCTGGTGAGGGCGGCAACGGGGGAGGTGAGGTAGTCGATTGATACGACGCAGGTTGAGGCATCGAGTTTAGCACTTGGTGAGGTTTCGGGAAGGGATGTCGCAATGTCTGGATTAGTGTTGAGATCCAGAGGACACGTCCATTGTTCAGAAGAGCATTCGCGTCCAGCTCGGCCTTGTTCATCCCCATTCCAGTGACCTGGAGCTCGCCTCTCTGGACGGCTTGCTCGATGCTCGGCGGGTAATGGCTGACCCACGACGAGCAGAAATCCAAGATCTTGCCTTTTCGAGGAAGAACCGAGTCATAGTACTCCCGGAGAGAGACGATCGCCGCGTCGTCAATGTGCGTGACGAAACGAGGGGAGGTGTAGAATGATGTATCTGGGGATGAGTCTTGGCGCGTGAAGTCGGAGGGGCTGTAAGGCCAGGAAGTATGCCGCGGTGTGTATGGTTCCACGCGGTAGGATGTGCTTGAGACCATGGCGGCTTTTCTGGTAGAGGTTGTTGACAGGGATGCTGTAAGGTAAAGGCAGACTCCTGAAATGCCTATGATTGGGATCGGGCGCAGGAGAGATTTGACTAGGGATTGCATTGAGGTTTTTCGCACTTATGTATGCGCAATGTACTGTACCCTGTGCTCGAAGCAGTTTGACCCTGTGCTCGAAGCAGTTTGACGCAGTAGATAGGTTTAAGAACGCAGCAGGACCGCTGGTACTGTGGTAATGGTGGAACGAGTCAGAGGAGTGCGGTTTGCACGTGCACGTACTTCAAGCGTTTCTCTCTGCAACCTCGTCCATCTTGAATCTTCCGCTAACGATTACGGACCTCCCAAGTCGCGCAGTTCATAATACTGCTCTTCCCATCTGTGCATCGAACATTAATGGAGCCTCCGACGTGCAAGAAGGCCCACCTAGTCTCCAGATCCCATCACACGGATGGCCCGACGCGGTGAAAGTCAGGAACAACTTCTCTATGCTCACTCGGTGCCCGCGCGGTGCAAATCCAGCCCTCGTGCTCCAGCACGGTGTGTATCATCATATATACGATGCTTAAATACCTCAGGGTTCAGATATGCAGGCCCACTGGTACTCCTCGCTTCTACACCATGAAACTCTCTTTGGCCTTCCTCTCGTTAGCTTTCTCCTTTGCCACCGTGGTCTTTTGGCGCATGCGACGACGTCGCAAACGGCTTCGCCTCTCTCAACGGTGGAACGATAGGAGGCATGGGTGGTACCATCGTCACTGTCAGCAACGTTGCGGACTTGCGGAAGTACGCGACTTCGTTTAGGAAATACATTATCAAGGTCCAGGGAACTATCACCGTCACGCCTGCTGGGGAGGAGATCCACGTCACGAACGACAAGACGATCGTAGGCGTGGGCAATAGTGCAGCGATCCAGAATAGCGGGTTCGGAATACATAACGTCAAGAATGTTATCATTCGGAACCTCAGAATCAGTAAGTTTGCGTTGTTTAAGTTGGAGTTGCAGTGGTGGCTCACTATCGCGTGTGGCATCTGTAGCCAACCCTAGTGACCCTGACACCTCTGACCACGACGCCATTCAGGCCGACACGTCTAGTAATATTTGGATTGACCACTGTGCGCACCCTTTCTCACCCTATGTGTCTCTCTTTCTGTTTGCTGACGCTATTTACCTCTAGGCATTTCGAAGCTGGAGGAGACGGTCTGGTCGACCTTCGCAAGGACACCACCTTCTGGACCGTATCCAACACTATTTTCCGCAAACATTACAAAACCTTTGGCATAGGTAAGTCGTACCTGTCCACCTCACACTCGCTCACTTTTGACCGGATCATGACCAGGATGGACCACCAACGTCACCGCTCAAGGCACAATCCACCATGACGCGCAACCCCAACGCCGATAACCTCCGCTACGTCCACCTATACAACAGCTATCTCATCAACAACGTCGAGCGCGGGATTTACATTGAGGGCAGCACCGAGGCAGGGGTAGAGAACTGCTACGTCTCTGGGACGAGGAACCCGCTGTTCGTCAGTGCGAATAGGAGGCTTCAGGCGAGTGGGATGATGTTTGAGAATTGCAATGGAACGAGGGCGGGGAATAAGGGGACGGTGTTTGATCCGAGAAGTTTCTACAGCTATACGTTGGATGCGACGAAGAATGTACCGAGTATCGTCAAGGCAAATGCGGGGAGGCAGACGAGTGTCTGCTCGGCGTAGTAACACGAATGCAGCCCATTTGTTGAATACCTTCGGGCGTTCGACAAATATATTACTTCTGAAGGCACTGGTCACCTTGAGTTAGTATACGCCCTGGGAAATCTCGCGATTGTATGTCCTAGACTACTGGCCACTCCATTCGCGTTACTGTTGCTTCTGTCTATATACGCAACGCTTCAAAGTTCAGTCGCATAGCGTTCCGTAGATTATGCCATAGGCTGCGACAGCGTCTGCAAATGCACTCGGAGCTTCTCCAATGCCCGAGATCGATGAGATAGGCCATTCTTCAGCTCCTTGGGCATCTCAGCGTATCTAGAACAAATCCGGTCAGATGAACGTGAGGAAAAACAAGAGGCGGATTGGCATACGTCAAATCGTGGCCGTTGGGCTGAAAGACAGCATCCCAGCCAAAGTGGCCAGGACCTCGAGCTGGGACGATCTGGCCGTCGTTGCGACCCTCAAATAGGATGGGCTCGGAGCCTGGTACAGACTCAGACGCAATAAAAGGCAATGGTAAAGACAGATTACGCACCGGGACCTGCACTGTAGGCAAAAGTGCATAACGCCCAGGCGTTCTTGTTAGGAAAACCAACGAGCATGTTGTTCAGACCTAGTCGCAGTAAAACGCAGATGGGCACTTGCTGATCGAGATTACACAGCAAAGCTGACCTTCGTGTCCTAGAGCAGTCAAGAAGTACTTGATATACGGACCAGGCAAGCCATTCATGCACTCAAAGCAAAGCGCCGTGTCCTCTGTGATGCAGGGGCCTCCAAGCTGAGGACATTATATCAACTGTCTCGCGCCGGGTCTGAGGCAAGGTGTGGCGTACGATCTCAGCTGCAGCTTTGCATTTCGCGATAGCAACCTCCTGCGTGCTACCCTGAACCTCTGGGACTATACGATGCTCAGTGATCCACTTGATGCGAGAGCAAATTCGAGGCAGACAGACTATCAAGGCTCTGAGAGTGGATCTCAACGGGCTGAGAACCAGAGTTTAAGATATCCTTCACTTCTTGGAGCTTGTTCTTGTTCCCGGTGACGAAGACTACATAGGTGTAGTGCTGGTTAGATGATTGGAAAGGTGATATACGCCAAGGACGGACTGAGTGTCATGGTGGTTCAGCAGCAAAGACCAGAGGCGCGATAACGCGAGCCGACCGCAAGGAGTTTAGGTAGTTTGTCTTATGATATACAAGTTTTTTTCTTGACTAGTCATGGGAGTGTACTCCAGTGGTTAAGAGGTTGTGTTTAGGTCATGTGCCATCCGCAATGCAGAAATGCGCGCGCGTTCGAATCGCGTCACTCTCATTTTTGCATCCAGTCCCTTCAAATTAGAGTTCGACGTTGAAGACTCGACTTTCAAGAGCATAGAGAATCGAGATGTCATTCGACGCTCTTCTCTTCAAGTTAAACTTTAGAAATTATTACTGGCCCACATATTTTCCGCTCCAAGTTGGAGTGATACTGTTACAATACATAGTGTACTTAGCCTTGTAGAGTAGATGTAGCGGCAGTGGATGGCTGA